AAAATTGCGCTATTTCTAGTGTGTTATCAAAAGATTGGTTTCCTTTTGGCTTTTTTTTGTAATTCTTGCTTTCTTTCACACATTTATTGTTAGTGCGCAACAAGAGCGACCGCGCTGAGGTGCGGGGCATTTCTGAAGATGAGCGGCGCTCAAGTTGCGCGAGTGCACAGGCACGGTAGCTCGTCTCCACACCGCGAGATGGTAGTGCCGTGAATAAAATTGCAGGGTGTGCCACGCACAATCGGCGTGCTGTTGTAGTTGCTACCTTCCTCACTCACTACTTTCTTCAGTCTCAACGAGCTTAGTGAGAAAAGCATTGGTGACTTCTCTGCGTTCTTAGGAAGGAAAGATTTACCCTTGTGAGGCTGGGAGGTGCACCCAGGGGCGATAAAACCAACACACTCACGTCCTTCATTCTCCTCCTTTTCTGCCTTTACACCAAAGCAATGCTGAAGGCCACGAGGTGTAAATAATTCATCCGCAAAGTTTTCATTTATCGTGCCTGACGTATTGATTGTTTTCTGGTTTATTCGCAGGTTTGCGGAATTTTCGTGGCACAGAAGCAGCCGACTCGTGCCACTGCACGATGTCATACTCCTGTGTAGCCGTCGGCTTGCTCGAGCAGCGTTCGTTGCAGTTGTACCTCCTGCTTCCTACCTTTTTCACTCTGATTCTGAGGTTTCAAAGGGATGGGTTCCCGTTATACAAACAGATGAGTTTGGGCCCAACAAGTACGCCTTTTTTGTTCTGAACGTGTTCTGGACGGGGCCTAGGAAAACAACTTGGGTCTGAAGAAGGCTCGCCTCAACCCGATGCTTTGCTGACCATCTTTGAAGGTACGAAGGAATTTCAGCCCATTCAAAGGCACCCGCAAAGAGGAGAGGAGACGGGTAGGAATTATAGATCGACTGCTCTAGAAAAAAGCTATTACGTTTTTAGTTGTGTGCAGTATATTGGAAAAGCCACGATCCTGTAGTCAAATAGCGGGCCTCTACTGATATCCGCCTGATATTAGTGTTTTCCTTTTGGTTTCTTTTTATATCGTTGAAGTGCCCATATTTCCCGGACCGAATCCGCCACCCAAGATTGTTTTCTTTTGTTTTTAATCTACTCGGCTACCCAGTTAGTTTGGAGTGGAGGGCTTATGTTGTAATAGCTGGTTATGCGATTCATCGTGCGATTTTCAGGGAACAACATTTTTTTACAGTTGCTGATACTATTTAAGAGCACATATTTTTTAAATGTAAACATATGTTTTGTTACATTTTTCTTCCATAGGTACACATCCTCTTCAGGAGCGCTTCTTGGAAAAAAAAAGTATGCCATTTTGATGTGAATTGTTATTTTTTACAAGTTACGCAGTTTTTCTTTTTCCCATAATAAGTTTGTGTATGATGAAATTAATACGGGAAAAAAGGAAAACTTTATAACTTGTAAAAAGATAACAATTTACAACAAAATGGCATAAGCTTTGTACTTCTGAAAAGCACTCTTGAAGAGAATGTGCTCCTCTGGAAGGAATGATTGTTCACGCACTGGAAATACGTGTGGGAAAACCGAAAGTACTCACGGCGACGGCGCCGTCCATTTTGACGAGAAAAGTACGGACACGAATGGACAATTACACGATGGAGGTGCTCCATAGCACTTTTAAGAAAAGATTTACTTTCAAAACAAAAAGAATACTTGCTAATCTTGGTAGCCTGTGCATCGTACCCCCCTGGCCAGACAGCGAGACCGCGTAACAGCACACCGGTAGCATGCAGTCACAAGTGACAGCGGAAAATAGTAGGAAAATCGGGAAACGACTATGTATCATGGGTAGAGAAGGACAGCTGAAATCTTCGAATCCGGCGGTTGCTTGTGCCACCCTGTACACGTGCTGTGTACTTTGCTACGACGAGACTGAATGTTGCCAACCAAGCTTTCGTATCGTGCCAAATCTAGCGTTGCCGCAAATGTTTTTTTTTGTTATTTTTTTTGTTTTGGGTTACTTTGGCGCAGTGTGGCGCAATTTCGACCGATTTCGCGTTTTTGGTGCAACTAGGCTCAAAAAATTGGGTTTGTATCAAAATGGTGCAATTGGCGCAGATGTCACACTCCTGCTGAACTAGTGTGTGGGTCACGCGACGTCAGGTCACGTGGCATAATTGTTTCTCTTGGTATGCGAATGCAAAAGGAGACAAGGGACACACAGAAACACATCAGACATGTGTTTGTGTCTGACATGTTTTCTGTGTGTCCCTTTTCTCCTTCTGCATTTGCATACCAACATGTTTAACCAACACACTCTTAATTCTATCTATAAATCTTCCCTCTAAATTTAGCGGGTAAACTAAACTGGTGTATAGGTGATATGACGTCTGGTTATGTGACACAACTGACGTCACGTGACCTAAACACCAATTCAGTTTCCCTGCTACATTTAGCAGGAAACGCATAAACGGATGGACAAAATTTTGGGATAGAGATAGCGTTAAAAAGCATTTCATGCTTTAATATAATAACTTTAAGAATCGAAATTGCTGTTTTTTACGAGTTTTAAAAGTTGTAACAAAACTGTAGTTCTTAATTCAGATAAAGAAACAAAGCTTTTGTCATTTGATTATGAACTTTAACAATTTTTTAAATGGAGAACTTTACGATAACAAAAATCCTGCCAGACTTGTTAAGGCTATTCCCAAGCTTGCATTTACTATTCCAGCTAATTTAGCTTTATTTACGGTATTGACTCTGATCAAATGAATGAAACCCATATAAAGTTAAAAACTAAATGCGAGTTGACATTTAAAAAAATGGACCGAAATCGCTGCTACCGCTACAATGTTTTTGGTAGAAGTGCGACAGCCTTTTGCACAGCAATTATTTATAACAAAGCATGGTGATTGCGACCTCTCACCATTTTTCTGCGTGGTAAACATTCCCGAAACCTATCTTCTTCCTGGTGCAAGCAGATCGGAGCACTTAGCTACTGCGTGAAGGACTTGCGCGCGATGCGCGGAAAACAACAGAGCCATTTCGTTGTTGTGCATACATGCTGGACATACAAAGGTGACAGCACCATGCGCTTACAGCCCGATGACATGGTAACCGCGTGGCAGGCCAAAGAATGGAACCGCAGTTCATGCGCATCCACAGGTCGCCAAAGCCGGCGACAGGAGCTTCCCAGGGCGTCCAAAGTGCGCACTCGCACCCTGGCTACCTATTTTGAGAGGCTAGGCGACGGGACGCATAGCAATGGTGGCCGCGCAGGAATGGGTGGTTATAGAGAGTGATGGCGTGACGCAACGCCTAGCAACCAAGGTGCAGTGGGGGACGGCGGGGCCAGGGAGTACTTGGGCCGCTGGCAGGGCACCGCGATGCGGTGTGTACGGGTGGCTCAAGGTGGGTTAATATTTTGTAACGAGTCATTCGCAGACCGTTGTCACGAAGCAGCATGAACGGGGGGGGAGGGGTAGGGGGGGGGGGGGGGGGGGGTTAACACGCGCCCTAGGGATAGACCAGCCGTCCTCCACTACGTGGCGCCGAAATTGGCGAATGGGGATGTCGCCGCCGATCTTCAGTTGCTAGGTGTGCTAGGTAACGGCGTCGCTCCCTGCAACCAGCCAATCCAGTGCGGCCTCCGTTGCTACGCATCCTATTGCCTAGCCTCTCAAAATATGCACCCTGCCGCCATCTGCCGGCCCTTGCTGAAGGTGTTTTCTAGTCAGTTTCCACAGCCAGTGAAGCTGTGGCGCCACACCGTGGCGACATTGCGAACTTTGAATACTTCAAACGCTCCAAATCGTCCAAGGTCAGCACACTCGTGCTAACGCATTCCAATAAACATATAGAGCAGTTTATTTTTGAAAAACCTAGAGACTGAGGAAAACAAAAAAAAGGGGACACCACACACAATTTTTTTCCGTTTCCCTAAGTCTTGAGGTTTTTCAAAGATGAATTGTCACCAGCTCGCCTGTTGTTGGAGTATTTCGTACGGAGCAGTCCATAAACGTTTTCTCTCAAGTATCCTCGATGAATCTCGAATGTGAAAGAGATAGAGATATTGTCAGAATATCACAGTCTATTATATATTCTAGCTGCAGTGTAGTGTCAGTATTTGGTAGTGTCACTGTTTGGTACAAAGACCAAATCAAATATGATGTTCTTCGAGGCGATAATCGCAAGTTTCAGAAATTTGTACGAGCCTACTGCAACGATCTGGCCATGTAGCAGGGCCTGTTTTATTATGCCTCGAGTATTACCAAAGCAAAAATAAGTTTTGGGACAATGTTGGTGGAAATTCCTCAGCAAAGTAACTGCTTTGACACAGTTTGGTGCAAATGGTCCAGCAATCGCATCACTGTGCTTCTCAATCAAGACAATGTGCAAGCACTGTATGCACTATAAAAAACTGCACTGACTTATTCCTTGTACCATCCCTTTGTAAAAATATCCAACCATTGGAACAGATTTTCCAAAAGAAGAACATGACCTCGAAAAGGTTAAATAAGTGTTCCCCCCCAAAAATGTAGTGTTTTTTCACCGTAAAAATAAACTCCCAATGCATCGCTAAATGCTCATTATGCGCCCAAATGTAGTGCTAACACTCCTAACCAGATGCCAAAGTTTCAGAACTAACCGTTATCACCTTTAAAAGTCATAACAGATTTTCCAAAAATTTCAAGAGGAAAACGGGACCCGTTTTTGGTAAATGCCACCATTCAGCTCCATGTATTGGAGAGCTCCGCCGGTCGGCATCTTTCAATTAAGAATTTCAGAAAATCAGATTTAACTTTCGAATAACAATGGTTAGTTTCGACGCTTTGGTAACTGGTTTGGACTGCTATAGCTACAATTGGACGGAGAATAAGCATTCAAGAAAGCATAGTTTAATTTTGCGGTAAAAAAAAACTGAATATTTTAAGGGAGACAGCCTGCGTTTTCAATGGCAATGACCTTCCTATCTTCTTCCCCATTGTTACTAATTCTTCTTCCAACAAACGGGGAAATGCACTCACCTGGACGTTGAAGGAGGACACGGTGTCGTCGAGCAGGTGCACCTCTACCGCGAGCACCCTGCTGCCGCCCCCTGAGGAGGGGGGCCTGGGGGGGGCCTCGGCAGGGGGGCTCCCCTCTGCGGGGGGGCTGGGCCCCCTCCGCTCGCTGCGCGTCGACATGGGCGGCGCCTACCGCTGCCTCAGCGTCACCTCATTCGCTCACGGCCGCCGGGGGGAGGGACCCTGCACGGCAGAATGCAACAATCAATGTGACGTGGGCACCGCAGTCTTACAATGCCTCGCAAGAGGAAGCAGTGAACTGAAGAGGACAAGCGGCGACATGCAGAGTACGACGGTGCTCGATGTGCTAAAGAGATGCAGGAGCCTTCATGGAAGACATTCAAAGTAGCCTGCAGCAAAGTTTCCCAAAAATCCAGCTCAGTTTTTTTCTTTTTTTTAATACACTACCAGACATGAAGCATATTTTTAGTTCACTTTCAATATATGAAGTACATTTTAATATATTTCTCGCATACTGCCTATTTTAGTGGTGCGGTCCGCGCGTAAACTCAGTGTGGCAACTATAAGTGTACTATACCGGACAATAAGAAACGAAACGCCGAAACGCATAGTGTGTGGTACTACCGGATCTGCCTGTTGCATCTTTCTTTAAACTGTGATGCATGCTGAGGCCAAGACAACTCCCTTCCGGCACTCACAACGCCACTCTGCGCTTACTTGTCTGCTACTGAGACGGCAGTTCTTGACTCTGGCAAGGCTGTCCAGATGGACGTCTGGATTGTAGGATTTCCTCAATGCTCCCACTCTAATTGGAAAGGGCTCACCAACACCGCTGCAACGAGCCTAGCAGCTCTCCTCATCTCATACTTCGAGAACACTTTTCGTGCGTTGCATTTCGAAGTGGGTCTTCATTCCTGTAGGCGCGAATTATGCGCTTTAAAGTCTCTAACGACCCTCTTCATACTATTGCCCTCTGCTAATACATTTTAATGCTCAGATGTGCGATGCACTTCTGCAAGCATCCTCGAATTTTTCGAACATGTCTTCGGCGGGCACAGAGATATATTTGAGTTTGAGTAACTCATTGTTGTACAATTGCCAAGTAATGTTTTGTGGAGCTGTGATTATGTAACTATCCTGAGCAGCTGAACTTCAAGGGACAGAGGCTTTAGGAGGCAAAGGCTCTGCTCTCTATGCAATGAATCTGCGAACAAATAAATAAAAACACTGTGGACTAATTATGGCATTCCTAATCAGGCAGATGTCTACCAAAAGGTTCACTTTTAAGATTATTGTGCGATCATAAGTCAGGGCTCAGTAGAAATTGTTTTGCGAAATTTTGCGATAGATTTATGCTGTGTCATGTGTAGGTTTTAAGGTTTGATTAAATGAAGGATTAAGCCTCCACTTCTTCATAGCAGATGGTACGAAATCACAGTGAGGCGCCACGAGCACCGGAGGGGAGTTGTCTCGGCATCAGCGTGCATTACAGTTTGCCAAAAAATCTTTCAGCCTTTCCACTCTGGTGAAGAAGGAAGACCAGCGGAGCTGTACTATGGTGGGGTGGGAATGAAGTAATGGCCGGCCGCAAGTCGGCAAGCCAGAGTGGAAAGGGTGGACAGCTGCTGCCATCTATAAGCAACGGCTGCAACCAGACAACCGGGTTTCCGCCGTCACTCATGTATGGCGGTAGCTGTCCAGAGTTTTGTGTCATCATTCCTTTGCTGACGGACAGACACGATACTGAAGAAACTAGCCCTTAAAGGGATGCTGAACCAAAATCTGGATTCCACAAAGCACGGCGGCAAAAGCGTGCAACGGGATGCTACAAACATCAAAATATCACTCATATAACGATATCTCGAACGGATGACCATATTTTTCAAAAAAAGGAGGCGCATTTGACAGAAATGTTTACGTCATATTTCTCCGAGAAAGAGAGAGAATGGCCTCGCGTCTACTCCGCCTCGCCGCCTTGAGAGGGCAAAGCGGAGAGGAGGAAACGAGGTATCTTCACGTCACGCGCCTCGTCGGCCTGGTTCAATCTCGACCTCGTTTTCCCAAACTACAGCCGTCCATTCGAGATATCGCCTTAGGAGTAGTGTTGTAGGGATTGTAGCGTCCCACCTACATCTCCTGCATTGTTTTTTTTTTTAAATCCGAATTTCGGTTCAGTACTGCGAGCCGCGCGTTTCAGCTCATATTGCCGCGCGCAAGGCTGAGAAAGAAACGCTCGGTCACGGTCCTCCAGAAAGTTCCCGTTAATTCATGTACCGCACGTAACTTCTATCATTTGTCCCTGCTTTTGTTTTCTAGAAAGTACGTGTTCATTCTCGCCCCGATCACGCGACGCTCGAACCGCTTTCGCCGAATCTTCGAGATAGCGGCGCACTCTAGATAAGAGGCCGCCCGCGACCTTGTCGAGTCAGTCTCGCCCTAGCGCTCGATTCTGCTGACACGCCGACTTCGACGCCCGCGACGCTCTGCTTTCTTCTGTCTCCTTCTTTATTTTTGGCACAAGTTCGCCACATTAAACGTTTATTTATTCCTGTCTATTTCTTGTTTATTAGTCACCACCCGTGATATTTTGGTGGAGGTGCGGGGTACCGCATGTTCGTGCAGCGCAGCCCCCCAAGTTCCCGCACTGCAAGTCCGAACCCAAGCTCCCGAGGACCCAACGAAGACCAGATCGAGACTCGATCAAGTCGCCAAACCCAAGGGCTACACCCGGAATACGGACCTTTACCACCCAGGACCAGGCAGCCGACGATGGCCAACCAGTCGCAGACCCCCGCCGCTCCTGCCGTCGTCTACCTACCCGTCGCTCCTCGGACACCGGCTCCATTCCACGGCGGGCAGTACGAAGACGTCGAAGACTGGATTGACCAGTATGAACGCGTTGCCCGCCACAATTGCTGGACAGACGAGCAGCGCCTACACAATGTCTATTTTTCGCTTGAGGGGACTGCCAAGCACTGGTACGAAATCATGAGTCCTCCCTGACGTCGTGGGACATTTTCAAGAACGATCTCAAGGCTACCTTCATCAACCACCACCGCCGAGAGAGAGCCGAGGACCTACTGCGAACCAGAACCCAGGGCCCCAACGAGAGTGTCACCGGCTTCGTAGAGGACGTCCTGCGCCTGAGCGCCCGCGCCGACCCTCGGGCTACAGAGGAGAAGAAGCTACGAATCCTCATGCGGGGCGTGAGAGAAAACATCTTTGGTGGCCTTGTCCGCAGCCCTCCGACAACTGTCGAAGACTTTGTCGCCGAGGCAACGAACATCGAGCGTGCCCTGCAAGCCCGAGCCAGCCACTACCAGAGGCTACCCGGCGTCAGCGCGGTTCCGCCGTCCGCTTGCGACCTTGGGTCCAGCATCCCAAGCATTCGCGAGATCATTCGCGACGTCGTCCGGGAGGAGCTGCGAAAGCTACTACCCGCCGCGGACCGACCAGCTTCGCTCTCCGTCGCTGAGGTCGTGCGGGAAGAAGTTCAGAGAGCCATCCAACCAGAGGCTCCCGTCGCCGTGGCAGCCACCGAGCCCACGTTGACTTACGCCGCAGTGGCCCGACGGCCACCGCCTCCTCCTCGCGCCTATGTCGCGCCGCCCCGACGCCAGTCTCCTGCGCCGCAGCACGACCGACGCCACGACGACCAGCCCCAGTACGCCAGCCAGGAGCCCCGTGCACCCCGGAAGACCGATGTGTGGCGAACGCCCGACCGACGCCCTCTGTGCTTCCACTGCGGGGAGGCAGACCACACCTACCGCCGATGCCCATACCGTCGACTCGGGCTGCGCGGATTCCACCCAAGCGACCCGCGCCCCCGGTATGGTGAACGCCCTCGGGAGATTGACGAGTACCTGCGACGACCCCAGTCCCCCGAGCCTGCGTCCCGCCGAGAGTTCCGGTCGCCGTCACCGCGACGTCCAGCTTCGCCGATGCACCGACCCCGACATGAAAGCCTGTCGCCCCTCGCTCCTCGCCGGGGAAACTAGGCGCGGCAACCCCTGGAGGTGGAGTTGCCGAAGACGACCGACGTAAAGAGCCTCCACGAACGACGGAGCGCTCCCACTCTCCCGACGATACGCATCACAACGACGCTCCTGCTTCGGTGTCCAACAACTTAAACGTTGTTATTGACGGCCTCGACTCATCGGCACTCGTGGACACCGGAGCAGACTACTCAGTCTTGAGTGGGAGGCTCTCTCGCCGCCTGCGAAAAGTCATGACGCCGTGGGATGGACCCCAAATACGAACCGCCGGAGGACATCTCATCACGCCAGTCGGGAGATGCACTGCTCGCGTCGAGATCCACGGTGAAACGTGCCCTGTGAAGTTCGTCGTTCTGCAAGACTGTTCGAGGGACGTTATCCTCGGAATGGACTTTCTCTGCGAGTATGGCGCCGTCATCGACCTCGGGGCAAACCAGTTGACGCTGCGGAAACCTGTTTTACCGCCGGTGGAGACCAACACAACATCAACCGCGATCCGAGTTATCGCCGACCATGTGAACCTACCGCCGCGGTCGAGTGTTTTCGTCACCGTTATGGCCGACGCCGCCATGCACGGTGAAGCTCTTCTGGAAGGCAGCGTCCAACTGCTCCTCGAAAAAGGAATTGGCGTCGCAAGAGGCGTAACGGATCTCCAAGAAAGACGTACAACTGTTCTTGTGACGAACTTTCGAGAGGAGCCGCAGCACCTAACGAAGGGTACCACCGTGGGCCACGTCGAGGAGCTTCAAGCGCCAGCGGTGGTCACCGCAATCTCCGAGGAAACCTCGTCGCCACAGCAGAAAAGCACGACGACGCCGCCGCTCGACATTGACCCCGAGCCCCCAGCTACGAAGCGCCGGCAACTGATTGATCTCCTTGCCGAATACAGTGACTGTTTTGCCACGACATCAAAGATTCGCCAAACACCAATGGCGAAACATCGCATTGTTACCGACGACGACGCACTTCCTGTCCACCAGTCGCCGTATCGGGTCTCCTTAAAGGAAAGGAAAGTGATTCAAGATCAAGTCCAGGAGATGCTCGACGACGACATCATTCAACCCTCAAGGAGCCCATGGGCGTCCCCAGTCGTCCTTGTAAAGAAGAAGGACGGAACCCTGCGGTTCTGCGTGGACTATCGTCGACTGAACGCCGTGACAAAGAAGGACGTCTATCCGCTCCCCCGCATCGATGATACGTTAGACCGACTGCGCCACTCCCGATATT